CTTCAAATTTTCGTGGCACAGTTGTTATTTCTTGCTCATTCTAGAAACTGGAATCGAAAGGCAAAGGAAAAGGCGACAAAAAAGGAAAAGGTATAGTTCTTCTTTTGTCCTCATGGGTATTCTATAAGTTTATTTTGCTCTTTGTAGGAAAAAAGGGGAAAAAAGAAAAAAAGGGCAAGAAGGGCAAAAAAGGAAAAAAAGGAAAAAAGAAAGCTGTGAGTATCTTTAAACATTTACTTGAAATTAAAGACACTTCATCATTCACCTCTTATGTTTGCATTCAGCACTTGCATATACAGAATAATCAATTCCTTGATGATTTACTTAAATTTTATTCATTTTCCTTTCGGAAAGTCTAGACATCAGATACAATATCAGTACTGACTTAGGGTGCCCACAATCATTTTAGAAAAAAAATTTTCATTTTCGACATAACGTAGTGATAGAGTGACGTGTTCTCTAAAAACTAACATCACTCCTAGATCTCCACGATCTTCGACTAGGAAGATACAAATTGTTTTAAAGTTTGTTACTTTACTCTAGAAAGACTCTATTTTTTAACTTTCGAAAATTTTTTTAAATAGTCAGTTTCGTACAGTAAAAATTTTCCACATATGAGATGTCACCCAACTCTCCACCATATTTTCTGATCGAGATATGATCACGTTGCCGAGAGCCGGCAAAAAGTGAGTTTCGCATTGAAACTTGCCTATTCAAAACTTCTTTTGTGGCCAATGCACTCAACTAGCGACCCAGATGCCCCTCTTGAAATTTCATCCGATCGGGCTGAGATTTGTTTTTTTATTGTAGATACCTAATACTATTATTCAGAGGTAAAATTCTTTTGCAAACAAAAATGTTTACAGAGGTTCTCCAGCCAAGGTTTTAAAAGAGTTTTTGAATATTTTCGCTATAAATTTGGAATGAAGAAATATTTTTAAAAGAAATGTATCTGGAAACCGATTGATACTTGACAATCTATGAGTGATCAAATTTTCAACCCGATCAGATGAATATTTTAAGACCTAATCATGAGACTAAATCGTCAACGAGAATCTCACTTGCTTAAATAGCGTGTTTGAATGTTTAGAACGATGAAGAAGGTTGGACATTACCAGAATCGGAATTTGTCACGACCATGATAAAACCTGGTACAGAAACTTATCAGAGTAAGTTAAACAAAACAATTGTATCCTATTTGATTGATTGTTTAACATCTTGTCTTATTAACAATTAGAAAAAACTATATTTTGTTGATTATGTAAAATATTGAATTTTAGATATGTGGGAAACAAGAGATGAAAGTTCGAATTTTGAACAAAATTATGACAGTGAAATAGTTAAAGAAGAAAAACGAGTAGAAGTGGTTGATGAAATAAGAATTGAGGTTGATGCATTAATGCGTGAAGAACTGAAAAATTTGAAAGCTGCAATTGATAAAACAAAAGACAAGAAAAAAAAGAAAAAGAAAAAGAAGAAAGCTAAGAAAAA